TCCCATCTGATTCTCTCTGTACCCTGCCAGTTTTCATATATCTGTTTTCCGGTGTGAGGAACTTGCAGAACTTCCTGATGCAGTCTGGTTTCCTTAGGATTTAAATAGGGCCATGGTATTTTCTTTTACATTTTCTGTTCCTTTCCTAGTAATTTTGCTTTTTTCACAGCTAATGACTATTAAGCCAACATTTTCATAGAGCTATCTACAATAACTTCATAAGAATCCTAAGTTCAGGACCTATTGTTATTTGTATAAAATCAGGGTTATTTTCCCCATACATATCAGTTTCCATACATCAACAATGAATTTCACTTTCCATTTTATCATCGGGTAACTCAGTGTGAATGTCTTTCAGCAACTCCCAAATTGTCAGCTATTTTTTTTTATTAGTCTGGATGACTTAATGTTAGTAAACATTTGTCACTTCCCTGTCCGTAACTCACCTTTTACATACCACAATCATGAATTTCTGGATACCCAACAACAGTCCATGTGGTAATCTGCTGTGAAAATTTGATATTTATTCCTGTCCTTCCTTCCCTCTCTTTGTCCATTATGTGTTTTCTCCAACGGCTGTTGGACTCTGACTTTGTAGAAAAGCACCCAGGCCATGTGGCTTATTTGACACTTTGTGAAGCTTACATTTGTTGTTGCTCTGTAACAGCATAACTTCACTAAAAAGCATAACTCTTCTCCACATCCCATTTTGCAGTTGACCCGTTTTGGTACATGGATGTGAATTTGAATCCCTTTGAGCTGAAGTGATCTTGAACTTAGATTTCCTTCAGAGATTCTGACAAGGGTGCTCTAACCATTAGTCTTTCCTACGTGGGCATTGCCAGTGACCACATTGTATAAGCAGAGAGGGAAGGGCACTGATCCTTTAAACAAATGAGTAACATACTTAAATACGTCCAGGAGAGGGGCCTGTAGACAGTAAGTTTTGTTATTTAGCATATAGATGTCTAAAATTATACCTGGTTTATATAACTAAAGCTAGTTAATCTACCCAGCTTTACTGCAGAACTTTGTCAGCAGAACTCCAGAAGCAGAGGTGGCACTTTACTTTTCAAAACTGAGACTATTACAGATTTCAAGCACTTTACAGGGATGACTATATCTTAAAATAGGCTTTATGGATAATGATTTAAAATAAAGTCTTACAGCAAAAGGGGAAATCTGATCCCACAAACAGGAGTAGCAAAATTCCAAGCAGATTTGCCAGTTTCTAGCTGGAGAGACTTCAGGATTCAGTTAATGGAGCCCAGAATTTCAATTATAACACTGGTAGTTACATCGTAGCAGGTATCACTGAGATCAGAATATATCCACTGAAACACTACTATTGTATTCAGGCCAGAAAACACATTAATTCTAGAAGTCTTACTGCATTTGCTTTTCTTTCTTTTCTTGCATGCCCTATGGACTCATAATACACAAAGCGATGCCTCAGTTAGAAATAGTTTCCCATAGGTAGAAATAATAATCACTACATTAGCTAGCCACAGTAAATCAGAAACACAATGGGGTGGGATCAATGCCTTTTCTTAGGCCTCTATTCTTCTAACGCTAACTTTTAATTTGCTACCTTTGGCAGTCTAATGATACAAAGATTAAGCTTGCTTGTCCTGCTTGCATCTGTTTCTTCCGTTTACAGCCATCCTGCATGCACCCAGTCAGTAAAGGCTCAGCTGCCTTTTCTGTGCAGAACATATATGGGCTTTAATCTGGAGGCCAGCGGTTTCTGCATGAGGTGTGCTGGTACAGTAGACAGACAAAATCTTGTAGCTAGCACAAGACTGTTTTCCTGTTTGATTTGTCAAGTGAAAATCTTACCTTTTACCAGTTTACACCTGCTTTTCTGCCTGGAGGAAAGGATACTATTTTCATTTCTGTGCATCTTGTACCATCATCTGTTTTTAAACAGCATTGGTACCAGTTTTGTTTATGTATTGGCATTATTGGTTGTTGATACAAAGCTTGTGTAATGTTGCAAAGGCTACGTTTAGAGATGGAGTCCTTAAAAATAAGGAGGAAGTGTATGAACGAGTCAGAAAATACTTTCTAATTAGTTAATCTTCCCTTTCCCTCTGACAGTCTGAAATTACCAGCTTCTAACCCTCTACGATTTTCATTGTACGAGCTACGGAAAAGAGCACCGTCTTTTGGTCACACGAAGTGTCGGCAACTGCCTTGGCAGTTCCACTGAACCCTCCGGCCGGGAGACCCCTGGCCTGAACTCCCCGCTCCCCTAAGCTGCCGCTGATGAGAGAAGCTCACCGCAAACAAACCAGCAGCGGGTATTTAGCCCCCAAATCGCTCTCTGAGCCGTCACCCCCGGAGCGTCCCCTCCGCCTGGGGGTCGGACCCTCAGACACACCGTCGGCTGCAGCCACACACCTTCTCCTGTCGCGACACACCCCCTGCGCTGGGCGCCCTGCCCCGGCAGCCGGGCTCTGTCGCGACATCTGCCGCGACTGCCCGACCGGACCCGGCCGCCGCCCGCTCCCGGCCCCGGGGCCGCCGCGGGGCGGCGGGGGGGGGCCGGGGCGGGGGGCCCACTGGCTAGCCCCCCCTGCAGCACCCAGCGCCGCGGCGCGAAGCTTCCCGGACCCGCCTGCTTACAGCAAATAAAGTTTTCGCCCGATGAAATTTAGAAGGTTATCCAGAACCTTAAAACCGTCCGGAATCCTCTGAATAATTCCCGGGAGGATTACCTCTTCTGCTGCGCCGGATCTCCCGTCCCTCTTGCCCCTTAGACCGATGTGAGGGGAAAACTCATCTTCCCTAAGATGATTCGGAGCCCTAGAGAGCAGCCACATCGAGAGCGGTGGAATGTGTTTAAATACGAGCTATGTAGAACTAGTGCTATTCGCGATTTATTTGGGGGACTGCTTTCTTTATAGGCAGCTCGTTTTTAGCAGCAGAAGTATCGACTTGGCTCCCTGCCTAAACCGGAAGACAGCGGAGTAAAGAAAAGCTGAAGCACTTTTTTTTTTTTTTTTTTTTTTTAGCTTTTCTTTTGGGTGTCTGATTACTGCTCGGTTTTTCTGGCTGCAAGATGTTTGAGGCAATTGCCCTTCTAGTCCTATTTCCAAACCGTGATACCTCATTAGCGATCCGTGTCTCATTAGCATCACGTTATTAGTAGTATTTTTTCAGCGCTAGGAATGTTACAATTTTGGAAGCCAAGGTGTAGCCCCCCTCTAGAGCAGAGGGAACAACTGGAAATTCAACAGTTCCAGCTGGCTTTCAAGTAGTCGAACGGACCCCGCGAGTGTGCGTGGGGAAGGAACACTTTGGACCACCGGCACTCGGGTCCGAACCGGTTTGCCTTTCCGAGCGATCGTTTCTCTGTCTGGAGGTCGACCGAGAAGGACCAGCCAGGAGCTGGGACGGCGACCCGGCGTCTCGGGGCACGGCAGGTCCGCCGGTATCAGGCGGGTAAATCCCAGACTGGGGCTGGGATCCAGCTCCCACTGAAACCAGTGGCAAAACTCCCATTGGCTTCAGTGTGGTGGGGATCCCAGCCGGTGCCCTCTCCTCAGACCCGGCCGCCGGCGCTTCGCCCTTGAGCTGCGGGTAGGTGAGAGCCGAAGTGCCTCTGCAGCAGGCGATTTACCTGTCAGAGGGTTTTTTCCCTTTCCTCCCCTTGCTTTGTCGCCAAGAAAACTTTTGGGTCCATCTGTCAGTTTGGGGAGGAGGGTGGCGGGAACGGAGTGCGAACCTACGCTACGAGCACGCGTTTCTTTACCGGTGTGAAGGGCGAGTATTTTAAACAGCAGCACCAGCAGAAGCAAATGAATAGATGGGCTTTAATGAGCATTGGTGTACAGCAGGGCAGACAGGGTACGGCAGCAATCACTCACAAACCAGCCGGGACTCATCAAGCAGTGCGTCGCTCTCTGACTTCTGATCCCTCCGGTTTACACAGACCTCTTGTCTGTGGGAAGGTTGTTTTCGGCAAAGTGCTTTTCCCGAATAATTTTTTTAACCGTTTTTCTGTTGGCTTTCCCCCGCCCCCTCCCTCCCAGCAGGTTTTAGTGTTCACACTCACGTGGAAGAAACGCCAAGCAACACATAGAAAATAGCGGTATCCGTGAGCGGTGAAAGGTGATGTGAAAAGCACAATCTACGAATCGCCGGGCCGGTTTTATTTTAATGAGAGACTAGGGAATTCGGACACTCAGTCACAGCTCGAGAGGCCAGGTCACACTTCAGTCCCTCCTACGGTATTGCCCTCCGATGTGAAATATCGGGACGGACTGTAAAAGTGTGAGGGGGAAGGACAAGTAAGTGATCGTTAGTTACAGGAGCCCTCCGCCGTCAGCGCCGTTGTCATTTAAATCCCCGCTAATTAATGGAGCAATTTAAAGCTTACTCTTTAAACAGCGAGCGTTACACGTCCTGAGGCCCCGCAGCTCGCCAGGGTCCAAGGCAACCGCTTTGCCCACCTCTTCGGGAGCAAGACCTACAGGGCGGCGGGGCAGAGGTTTCCCGTCCCTCGGGGGAGGGGGAGAAGCAGAGTTCAGTGGGGGGGTTACCCTTCTGCTCCCCCCCCCCCCCCCCCGAGCCGCCGGGAGACTGCAGCCCCTCTCTTCCCCCCGGGCCCAGAGGTTTCGCGGGACCTCCGGGCCGGCCGCCCGGGGAGGGCGGGGGGGGGCTCGGGGGGAAGCCCGGGCTGCGGGGCCGCCCCGTGCCGCGAGGGTGGCGGGGAGACCTCCCCTCCCGGCCCCTTTCTCCTCGCCAGCCCCTTTGGCCGCGGCTGTGACTTGTCACATCACCTCTCCGCGCCGCTAACGATATGTAAACGACGACAAAAGCTCTTACCTGCGACCTGGCTCTCAAATAATCTGATTGTACACAACATAAACACAGACACCAGCGGGGTATAGTGATCAGATCGGCCGGGTTTCCGTGCCGCACGCGTGCCCTGGGCCCCCGCATCCTCTCCCCCGGGAGCCTGGGGGCCTCTCTCCCCCCCGACCCCCTGCCCTTTAGGAGTGCACCAGGACGGAGTGGAGGGGGCCCTTGCCCTCGGGGGTGTTGCTCGCGGTCTGTTCCAGCAGCGAAGCAGCGGCCGGGGCAGCGGCGGGGCAGATCTGCGAGGCGGCGACCGTCAGAGCGGGGATGGCCGGGGCGGCGGGCATCGCCGGCGCCGGCTTGATGGGCACCGGGACGGCGGGCATGGTCTGTGCCGGCGGGTGGCAGAGCGCCTTCACGGGCACCCCAAAGGGTCCGTAGTCGGGGGACACGGGCACGCCGGCCACGGAGTCCATCACCCCCACGTGCGGCCACATGGAGCTCACCACGCTGCTGAGCTGGCTGGGCACCGGGTAGCCCAGGTGGTGCATCACCGAGGCCAGCGGCAGCCCGCCGGCCTGCAGCACGCCCTTGTAATCTCTGCCGATGATGTTCTCGATGGCGAAGGGGTGCTTGAAGCCCGAGGGCTGGCTGCTGCCGTAGGGAGAGAACTGCGGCAGCCTCCCCACGGCGGCGGCGGCGGC